TGTTAGGATGACTCATTTCCTTTCTCTGTAATACATGTTGAGCTGCATGCATGTCCCTGCAGGGCTGCTGCTCATACATAATGAAGCTTAATGAACACTTAAGGGCAGTCAGTGGCTTAATGAGAAAAGCAGAGTGAAACAACCAGAGACGGACACCAGGATTTTTGTGCACCACATTTATTTTGTATGCGGGAAACATACAAATAAACTACATTGGGTTTTTATCTACATGATGAGTCTGTGTGGGTTTTGTTCATTATAATAGGAATGTGTGTTGACTTATAGTTTATGTGCCATTTAAAGTTTCAACACTTACTGTTACTGTTACTACTAAGCATTATAGTAAGCATGGCAACCTGAAAGACTTATCACAATAGGAACCAGTCAAATGTTATGACTTTATATAGTTTTATAGTCAGGTGCCAGTTCTGTGCTGTAGTGACTGCAGGCTGAATCAGTTATTGTTGAAAGTGGACAGTTTTCTAGGTAGTGTTGCCGACTGCGTCTTCATGTGGGACGTGAGAAACTTTCTACTACCATTCACTCGTTTATACATCCTTCCATCTATATTCTTATCCAAGTCTGGGTCACAGGGGAAGTAGACCAAGTCGAAAGGCAGCTGGGCGACACACTATATTGCCAAAATTATTTGCTCATCTGTCTTCATACACATATGAATTTGAGTGACATCCCATTCTTAATCCATAGGGTTTAATATGATGTCAGCCCACCCTTTGCAGCTATAATAGCTTCAACGCCTCTTGGAAGAATTTCCACAAGCTTTAGAGGGGTGTTTATGGGAGTTTTTTACCATTCCACAAGCACATTCATGAGGTCAGACACTGATGTTGGACGAAAAGTCCTGGCTTGCAGTCTTTACTCAAATTCATCCCTAAGGTGTTCTGTCAGGTTGAGATGAGGACTCTGTGCAGGCCAGTCAAATTCTTCTATACCAAACTGGCTCATCCATGTCTTTATGGGCCTGGCTTTGTGCACAGCCATGCTGGAACAGGAAGGAGCCTTCCCAAAACTGTTCCCACAAAGTTGGTAGCATGAAGTTGTCCAAAATGTCTTGGTGTGCTGAAACATTAAGAGTATAATTGTATAATTGGTCACTTTAGGAACGTGCTTTACACCACTGCATCCGATCCTTTGTGCTTGGTGACGTAAGGTTTGGATGCAGCTGCTCAGCCATGGAAACCCATTCCATGAAGCTCACTACACACTGTTCTTGAGCTAATCTGAAGGCCCCATGAAGTCTGGAGGTCTGTAGCGATTGACTCTGCAGAAAGTTGGAGAGCTCTGTGCAACATGTGCCTCAGCATCAGCTAACCCACTCTGTGGTTTAAGGTGGTCTAGCACTTCATGGTTGAGTTGCTGTCATTCACAATCGCTTGATTTTATACACCTGTGTCCATGGAAGTGTTTGGAACATCTGAATTCAATGACTTAGATGGGCGAGTGAATACTTTTGGCAATACAGTGTATTTGTATCCAGCGTGTCCTCCTGATAGACCACGTCCAGTACACCTCACCAACGTGGCATCCTGCTCAGATGCCCCAACCGCCTCAACTGGTTTAATTTCAGATTTTTTTTTTGGACTCAGTAGTGACCCACTGGAACACTGGTCTACTTGTCATGATTAATTCTGCCAGTTAAACATGCAAAAATAAAACAGGTACTTTAATATAAAAACAAAGCCTTCACCCCATCCTGTATACAGAATCGCTGCATTTCAGAACAAAGACCTGGATTTATAAGCACTTTGCATTTAAGAAACCTAAGGATAGGGATTTGCAGGAGTGACACAGACAAAAACAAATAAAAAA